AATCTGCCCTCACAACAGACGCTGTAGGAAGTTCTGCAGGGGTGTCTGCCTCCCCAGAAGGCTCCTGTTCTACCATTGCTTGTCATAAGGGAGAGGGAAACCAAAAAAGAAGAAACAAAAATTGCAGCAGGTCTAGTGAATCCAATAGGGGCAGGCTTGGGCTGTGGGGAGGGGAGCAGGGCGGTGTGGGGAGGAAGGGGGCTAAAGCTCACTGAGCTACAGCCCCATAGGAAATCAGGAGGGATATGCCTGGGGAAGGTAGGGGATGGAGATACACACACAAGGGCTGGGGAGACTCAAGCTGGCTTACTCGGCCACACAACAAACACCAGGGCATTGGGAGTGGATCACAGGACTTACCACGCAAGGGCAAAACACACAGGAGAGGCTGCTGAGGTAGGTATAAGAGATGGCTGGAGTGATGGAGGGGCTTCGTTTGTTGAAGCTCGGTCCAAGAGCCCCTTCAGGTGCCCCACCAGGCACTTAGCAGCAGGGCAGCAGGTAGGAAAACAAGGCACAGGATCAGACACGGTGAGGCAGCTGTGAGGGAGTGCAGGAGCAAACAGTCAATTAGAGAAGTATGCCAGTGCAGGTGTGGTGCAAGGCAGTGCAGCAGGATATCCCTCCTTTCCTGAAGTGGGGGCAGTAGCAGTACAAGCAGCAGCAGCGGTAGCAGCCATCCAGGACAGCCACTCAAGGCATGTTTTAGGTAAAGGTGAAAGTGAAAGTGAAGGTGGGGGGTGGCCTGCCGGGGCAGGCAAGGTGCCCTTAGGCACCAGCAGTGATTTGGGGGAGGGGCCCATAGGCAGTGCAGTCCCCCACCCCAGGCAGTCCTCCGGCCATGGCTTGGCGGTGGGCTGGGCAGCAGGCCAGAACAGGACTGCAGAAGCTGGGGTGTGGCGCAGGGCGATGGGGATGTGGTGGACCCCACCCTGAGGGGGTGGGCAGCAGCATATGGAAGAGAATCCCCCCCGTGAAGGTGAGGTGGCAACAGCAGCAGCCTGAGGCAGGAAAGGTTATGGCCAATTTTCCCCAGAAGCTCCAAAAGCAAGCTAGTAGCAGCAGCAGCCACCACAGCCAGAGGCAGGAAGGGCCATGGCCAACTTCCCCCAGAAGCTCCTGAGAGCATGTAGCCCTGAGCTGCTTTCCAGGGCGGCTTTTTATACTGCTGAGGCGAGGCCAGCACTGGCTGCAGATCTGGAAGGAGCTGGGCAGGGTTATTTTGTTCAAAGTGGCACAACTTGCCCAACACCAAAATGTATGTCCAAGCACGTGCACTGAAGTAAAAATCCCTGGCTCAAATTTGTGCCACTCCTATTTGAGTTGCTTCAAGTACATGTGTGGATGTGCCCCCTGAGGGTATCAGGGGGAGAATATTGGCAGCCTTTTTGCAGTTTCTCTATGTTTGTATTCCAGTATACAAATTCTTAGGTACATAAGTGAATTTACATACCCAAGTTCAATTTACTCCATATTGTTGTAGTCCCTGAAAATCCATTGATGTATCTATTTGGAACAACCACCATTTTACTCTTGAGATTTGAGTCACAAAAAACAAAATAGAGGAAGAGGACCCACCCACCTTCTGTATTAACAGTTTTTCAAGGGACTGGAGAAGAGTGGAATAAGATCAGTTCTCTTAGTGCTTATTGGGATTTTTTTTAATCTTTGTTTTTCTGCATACTGCCACATGCCAGCAAAATATTCTTCAAGGATATATTTTATAGTGAAGACAGTTGTTTCATTGGGCATTAAATCTTACACACACACGCGCGCACTATACATATTGCACAAATCATCTCCACATCATTGAATATGTGCTAGAATTTATCCTGCTAAAAATTCCCTTGATATGGAATCAAATTTACTGATACAAAATTCATTATTATGTTTCCTACCCTATCTGCTTCATTACATAAACTCCAGCTCTTTACTAATCTCTTCAGATGTCTTAAGGAAACTATTAGACCAACACAGATAAACTGACAATGCCAGGCAGCTAGATAATGGAGTTATCTGAAAACACTGCTATTGTATTACATGCGTATAGAAAAATGAAGCAGTGTATGAACTCTAGTTCTGCCATAAAAATCAGTATAGAAATGCCTTGAAAGTCAAAATTATTACTGTATTACCATAATCATGGTATTGTTAGTTTTGAAGGAAGCTATATAATGGCTAAGATGATACGAAAATAGTTACATAAATGTCTTCGCTGAACACAAACATAACATGAAAATGCCACATGAAAAAGGGATAATTAAAAGGCTACACAAATAATGCAAGCAACTGCATTCCTACTTTTGCAAACATACCTATTGAATATGAGTTCACCTACTGCTTGGAATGACCAATCTTTGGGATGTAATTCTCAACTGATGTTGAGGATTGGGTGCTGTATCACAGTCCAAGGTGCACTGTTTGGTTTCCTCGAGCCTTATATTATTGGCTATTAGGTAAAGGTTTCAACCTCAGACTTCAGTGTACTTCAACTCATAAATTTCAGTACTTATAAAAATGATTATGTGGAGTTTCACGTTAATTGTCTCTAATTACATACAGATTAATTTTGCTCTGTTTGTAAATTTAAAGATTGTTTCTTATTGTTTGCCAGTGCTGGAAACTTAGCTTGGAAGCTAAAAGTTAGACTGAGAGAAAACAAAGATTTTGCAAATGGAATTTATGTAATTCCATGGATGATGAATAAAACAATCCAGCTCTCTCTTTCAATGATGCATTGTTTCTTCTAGCTATAGATGTGACTGTTAATATACACTGGTTGCAAATCTTTTGAGTAAACCACTGCCTTATCTGACAAAAAAACAAGAACTTCAGTTAGCAGCATGCTGTTTTACTTCCATGTTGTCCCATATGGAATCAGCAGTAACAGTTTTTAACACTTTAATTCGTATTTTTAGATTCGATGTAAAATAATATTAATAAAATCACAAATTATTTTTACCAATTTAACATTATTAAAATGATAATAAACAATTCATATGGTATTTTACAGCTTTGTTTTATTAATTGTTTTTTTCCTGTAATTAAACTGTATTATTTACAATTACATGTTGCAAATTCAAACTCAGTTTTAAAAAATAAACAATGTAAACATTCTGCTACAGGGAAGTAAAGATACTCAATAATCCAACATTCCACAAAAATTTCACAACTGAAAAATAAAGAAATATAAACCAAAGCTAGCCAATGTACATTTCAAAAGTTAATAAGGAAAGAAAGGATTAGTTCCTCATCTTAGTAATTTCAGGGAAGAAAGAGTATACTTATGTATTTTAAGATTGCAGATTTGAATTTTCCTATATAACTTTAACCAAAGTACACCAGCGTGTCTATCAGTCAAATATTAATATACATTCCGAAATATTCTGAGGCATATTTTTTAAGTTAAGGGTGTTATTTATATGCTACTCTTGGAACATTTGAAAATCACTGGGCTGAAGCAGGAGGACATCAGAAAACCTTTAAAAAACAACCCATTAAGATCTTTTCTTTAAAAAGATTCCTTTCTACTCCTCAACAAATAAGATAAATTCTAAATTCATAGTAGCTGTAGGGTTAATTTACAACATACTTAATGGACAATGAATTAGAAATTTTATATTTACAATATCTCTATTATAACAAGACTGTAACAGTGTACATTAAAGTCATAAATAGGACTAGTTTACCCCTGGAAAGGTAGAAAGATCTGTCATAGATTCTGTAAACACTGAGGGTGCATATAGATGTTTGGGGAGGTTAGGGGGAGGTGAAATCATGTTAAAATAGCCACCTGCTCTAACTTAGTTCACCTGGATGCAGACCCTACACTTAACATATCTAGTTAAGTGGATCTAAGTGCAAATTGTTCAGTATTTCCAGGAAGGTTAGATCAGTCTAAAAACAGCTGACCTGATCTAAGTTAACCCTACCTCCGAGGTAATCTAACTGAGATTGGGTTGGCCATTTTTAGACTGATCTAACTGTCCCAAATTTATGTTCAGTTCCCAGCACAGCCCCAGGGCTGGGAAAGTCCAGCCTCTGGCCTCAGCCCCAGGACTGTGCTTTTCCTACTCCCCTGGGCACTAGCATATTTTTATCCCCCACCCCCTCA